CCATCGTCGCGTACCAAGCCATTAGGTTCTAAAGTAGCTGGCACGCCAACGGAGGCAAGAGCTCGACGAATTATGTCATTAATACTTGCGTGTCGAGCAAAACGGCCCGCACTACGGCTACATGACAAGCCGTGGTGTCCAAGGCTGTTGACATCTTCACCACAACGATAACGATGAGGTGAACAAAATGAAGCTCCAAGCCTTAAACAAATTTTATTAAATAATGGACGAGCTTGTGGCAAACAAAAAGATAATAACAAATACGCTAAGTGTTTAAAGGAAGTAAAAACTGCAAAGATCATTTAAAGAAGGAACATTAAAGAGAATGTTTTTTTAGGAACCTTACCAATTAATCAATTACATTTGATTATCTTTATTTACTTCTAAACCAAATAATAAGAAAAATAATAATTAAGTTAGACTAACTTTTATAAGCATTATTTTTGTATTTCGTTGTTAAATTCCAAATAGAGAAGTACTGATTCAGTTAGATGGATATGGCAGAGATTAAGATATTCAGATACGTGTTTTTTCAAATTACTTTTAATAAGTTGACATTAGTTTGTACTTGTTACTATCATTATGATATCTTTATAATACTATGTACCTATTTTGTCTAATAGTAAATAATTAAGAATTATTCATTGTTTTATTCCTAAAACCACCATTTACCAGCTGACAGTGGTAAAACCTAGCATATACTGAGTTCGAATGGTAAAAGCTAGAAAAAAAACGTCGTATCTTCAGAAATACTTACATTTACCAACTCATGTCGGTAAATCCTAAGACTTACACTTAAATCTTAAGATTTACCGTAGTTCGAGCTTTTACAGTTACAGATACATACATACAGGTCAACTGAGTACTTTCTATTTTAAATAAAATAATTAAAAAAGAAATAGTAAAAATAATTTATTTCAGACATCTAATTAATGTTTATACCATTCTTATAAATTTTTAAAATAAATACATTAAAATAATATTAATATTTTATGACATAAGCCGGTAATCGAGCAGACGGATCACCTGATGGTAAGAAATCGGCGTCGCTTATGGACACCTAGAACACCAGAGGCGGAACAAGTGCGTTACCGGCCTTTTGGGAATTAGGAGTTTGAGGATCGTTGGGGATTCAGGAATTGGGGAGATTGGGGAAGGGGAGGGTAATTGGGCCTCCGGTAACCTTACTCACACGACGAAACACAACGAAAGCGTTGCTTCACGTCGGTTTTCTGTGAGGCCGTGGTATCACTCCGGTCGAGCCGGCCCATTCGTGCCGAAGCATGGCTCTCCCACACTTAAACGTTTTATTTAATCTTAATCTTAAAAATTTTTAGTTTTTCGATTACATTTTTTTTAAGGGGGGGAAATCATCGAATGACTTCTCCCGCCTGGGTGAGGCGGGAGGGAGTGTCAGACTCTTACTGACTAAAAACCACCGCATTCCTACTCCTGCGCTTCGAGCCGGAGCCCCGGCAACCCGTTAGGTTCTCCGCGACTTCGATTACATTTAGAATGTCTTGGAGTAGTGGGACTGTGGGATTCATGAATATTGAATTAGATTTACTTGAAATATTAATTAGTGCGATATGGGGGACTAATTTAGTAATTTGATTAGCGAAATATTCATTAAATTCGTTGGACATTTTGAGGAGGTAATTACAATTTCATTTATATTTATTTGTTGTATTTCTTGCTTTGGTACATTCGTTTTATTTCTGTTCATTGCAGTCCACGTGGCTTTAATTTTATTATTTGAATTATTTATGTAGTTATCACTCTTAGTTTTTTGCGTTAATAAAATTTTATAATACAATTTAACGTCGCTGATAGTTCATAAAGGTTTTTTTGTTATGTTCTGTTCAGTTTTTCCGATACTGCCACGATAACTGACGTTTATGCTTGCAACATAGTATGATACCCTTTGTTTACCCATTTTGAGTTTGCTTTCGCATTAATATTGGCATACTCCTTAGGGAAACATCGGTCTCGAGAATGCGAGAGGATTCTGCGGCGGACACGTGTCCAATTCTTTGGCTCGTATTTAATTTGTGTATTATACAGTTGATATAAAGTTCATTATGCTATATACATAGACAGTTTCGTTGGAAAAGTCGCTTCCATTCCATTCCCAGGCGGTGCAAATTGGCTTAAAAGTATCTGTACGTTACATTTTCTTTCATAAAACAAAAATATGTAGATGATAAGGTTAGGTATCCAGCAGCTGTAGCCAAATGCCATTCAGCGCTTGTCTACATGTAGAATACAAGTGTGAGAGAGCCATGCTTCGACACGAATGGGCCGGCTCGACCGGAGTGATACCACAGCCTCACCGAAAACCGACGTGAAGCAACGCTTGCGTTGTGTTTCGTCGACTGAGTGAGGTTACCGGAGCCCCAATTACCCTCCCCTTCCTCCTAATCCCCAAAAGGCCGATAACGCACTTGTAACGCCTCTAGTATTCCAGGTGTCCATGGGCGACGCCGATTGCTTACCATCAGGTGATCAGTCTGCTCGTTTACCGGCTTATGCCATAAAAAAAGAATAGAAAACTATATTATATGGAATTGACGTAAATTTTGACACTTGTCAGTGTCATCCTCATACATTTAGTTGTCTACTCTCTCTGTAGACAAGCGCTAAAGTGGCGTTTGGCTAAAGGCTCTGAATGTATTCACGAACATACCTCTATAAAAATAGCATGGTGCTCCAAAGTTCACCCGGTTGCAGAAATGTTTGATCCTCATTTCGGAGACGGCAGACGCATTGACTAGCTCCATCGTCATGCAGGTGTACTCCACATTATCCAACAGAGTTATCTGATAACCATTGTATTCTTATTACTATAACTAGACCGTTTTGCTGAATCTAAACTTAAAGAATGTTTCAATTTTCTTATTCAACGGTATAGTCTAGTTCTGCTACATAACATAAAATCACGCCTTTTATCCCCGAAGGGGTAGGCAGAAGTGCACATTACGGCACTTAATGCCACCATGCAACACCCACTTTTCACAATTTTTTGTTATAAGTCCCATGTAATAGGAGGTGAGCCTATTACATAGGACTCATATTGTATTGTTATTGACTATACCGGGCACAATTCCACAACTACTACTGAGATATTTTAAAAACCCAGTAATACTTTGCCCGACCCGGAAATCGAACCCGAGACCCCTTGCACTTGCGACCACTCGGCCAACGAGGCAGTCGTGTGAAGTGAAAACCGTTCATATTGTTAAAAAACATTAATAAAAACCAATGTAAAATGTTCACATTGTACGTCAAATACTGATATTGACTGTTGTCCGTCCTCAATACAATAGTTTCTCGGAACGCCAAGTGGGTTTTCTCTTCGGCGTCGCAATTACCGAATCTTTGGTAGTTGTGGCTAGCTGGAAACAGAAAATCAAATCAATGTAATAAAAGACAGTCGTGTTAATAACTAAATATCGCGGGTCACTCACGTGAATATATTGATCAAGCTCTACTAGTTTCGAGCCACAAAGGGGTTCTTCCTAATGAGCAGCGAGCGCGGTCGCGGCGATGTCCCGCCGCCTAGTGGCTAGCGTCGACGCTTGCATTGGTGTTGGTACTTACGCTGCGAGCCCACCGCCCCCTCTGCCGAAACCCACGCGCGTTTGCTTCCATTTCCAACGGCGGCGCTTGCGATGATGTTAAAACGCACGATACGTTCACCACTGTCGTGGAGTTCGGTTCCGAGGCCAACACAAAGTCAGTGTTACATACAAATCTTACTGTGTATATTCACGTGACTAACCAGCGATTTTTAGTTAAGTCAGTCTCACGATAGTTATTATTAAACAAATTCGTGTTATACAAGGTATTGTTTTAAAGCCGCGTCATTTTCTAGGAGGTAACTCGGCTATTCTCTCGAACTGAGTCCTAATGAAAAAAAAAAATTGTAGGTAAATATTTTTAATTTTTCTGCAAATTACGGAAATCCGTAAGTGCGAACTACACGTCGCCATCCTGTAACTAGCTTTATAACGCGACTTAACACACACAAACTCAAACACGTAATTGATCTTATTCCTAATTCCATAAAACTCCAATAAGAAACATTGCTGTCGCTTATTCTGAAATACTGTCGAACTTAAACGATTTATTATAGCCGTATTTTTAGCTATTGACCCGAAATTTTCTCTTATCTTTATTGACCTTTGAGACATGCTCCGAGAAATATCACGGTTTCAAAACTACACCTTGTATACTAGTTAAACTATTTATCGTAAGGGAATAGAAAAACGAGATTGCGCGTCCGGAGTCGCGGGCAGAAGCTAGTTAGTAAAAAAAAACAACCCTATAAAGTTAGCCATACAATGAAAAAAATGGACTCACAACGCAATACATATTTCTGCTTGGATATCTTAGAGATGGTGATCTTATTGAACCCGTCCAGACTCTTCTCGACCCAAGGGTAGTAGCTCATCATGTCCAAGTAGCGAGACGGCGCGCCGCACCCTGGGCCTCTCACACCCAACCCTAACTAAATAAATGTATACGTAACATTACACTTACGCCGAAATAATCAGACGTCACTCAAATTTAAGTCGCCCTTACGTATTTTTTTTTATGGCATAAGCCTGTAAACGAGCAGGCGGATCACCTGATGGTAAGCAATCGGCATCGCCCATGGACACCTGGAACACCAGAGACGATACAACTGCGTTACCGTCTTTTTAGGGATTAGGAGGTTGAGGATCGTTGGGGATTCAGGGATTGGGGAGATTGGGGAAGGGGAAGGTAATTGGGCCTCCGGTAACCTCACTCACACGACGAGACACAATGCAAGCGTTGCTTCACGTCGGTTTTCTGTGAGGCCGTGGTATCACTCCGTTCGAGCCGGCCCATTCGTGCCGATGGCTCTCCCACACTTAAAGTAGGTACTCACTATAATTTCATTGTAAAATGACAGAGATGGTTTGAAATTTAAGTACAATTTAAATTTGAGTAGTCTTTCATTATATAAGTTAGTTTGATATTCATAATGAAAGTAGTTGTAGAAATAATTAGATAATAATATAATAAGGTACCGATGGACTATAATCATCAAGATAAGAATGTGTACGAAATATCAGACCGGTCTGTCTACAGGAAGGGGGTGAAATTTATCATTACCACGCAAACAAACATAATAATATATTTTAGATAAATAAGATGATTAGGTGTGTGAGAACCATGCTTAGGCAAGAATGGGCTTTATAGAAAATCGACGTGAAATAACGTTCGCGTTGTGTTGGTCGTGTGAGTGAGGTTACCGGAGCCTAATTACCCCGCCCCCCCCTACCTAAACTCCCTAATCCCCAACAATCCTAAAATTCCTAATCCCTAAAAGGCCGGTAACACATTTCTAACGCCTCTAGTCTTTCAGGCGGTGTCGCGGAGAACCTAACGGGTAACCAGGGCTCCGGCTCGACGTGCAGGAGAAGGAACAGGGTGGTTTTTAGTCAGTAAGAGTCTGACACTCCCTCTGCCTCACCCAGGCGGGAGCAGTCATTCGATGATTTTCCCCTCTTAAAAAAAAAAAAAAAAATCTTTCAGGCGATGCCAATTGCTTACCATCAGGTGATCCGTCAGCTCGTTTACCGGCTTGTCCCATAAGGAAATAGTACCAGCATCCAGCGCCCCCAGACGTCGCGCGCCACGAGCGGGCCGCCGGCCCCCCACACGCACACCCCGCCCGGCTGCAGCGACACCGCGCACGCCACGTGCGGGGGACGCATCTTCTTACTGTACAACTACAATATACATTTTTATAGTAAATATCAGGAGACATACTAAATTCTAATACTTCTACTTACTAAATAAAAACGCGGGTTACTCACGTGAAAAAACTGAGAAAAGCTCTACTAGTTTCGAACCACAGAGGGGTTCTTCCTCATGAGCAGAATGCGCGGTCGCGGCGATGTCGTGCATACTTATCCAAGCATTTTCACGTGAGTAACCCGTGATAGAATAATGATATTATTACGCTAAAAATCACTACGTGGATATAGCTAATCTTTTTTACTCAAGACCGGACATTTAGGTTCAGTCAGGCATTTGTCAGCTACATCCTGCGCCGCTGACGCGTGCGTTCCGCACGCTCAACCTCATAGCGAGTGAGACGGACTTATTCTACTGTTCTCTGAGTGAATTCACAAGGAATGCTTTGTTTGTAATTAGTTATAAGCAATAAGTCAGGATTAAATAGTTCGCATTTATCGCATTGGGTCATCCTGTAATGGTAAATGTAAGTAAGTAAATAAATAAATAAATAAATAAATAAATAAATAAATAAATAAATAAATAAATCCTATTATATTCAAATTCAAATTCCGCAGTTCGTTTCGGGGACAACGGTACTCGTAATTGTAAAAAGGGACAGTACCGTTCAAAACGGGATGTCTGGTCACGTTATGCATAGTATATTCTCGCCCGTCATTGGTCGAGATCATTCTCACAACCAATGACATAGCGGACCGCGATTGAGCTCACCTCGATCTTCTGAATTGAAAATTACAAAATGGTCTAACTGCAGTGGTTGAACAAAAAACTTCTTCCTACATTTCGTACATTCGCCTTTTACCAAGTCGTCTTCTTCATTACTGAAGGTCGTGTCTAGTGATGCACAACCCTCCCCCGAGCGCCCCTGTCCTCAGCTACATTCGCCTAGCAGCTATCACATATTGAACGTCTAATATGTGACACTACCTAATTCCCTATTGGACGGACAACTAGACGTTCTACTGACTAATGCTCATAATTTACCTAAAATGTGATAAATAAATTATTAGATTTAACATCACGCCTTTTATCCCCGAAGGGTTAGACAGAGGTATCACCCACTTTTCAATATTTATGTATTGAGTCCCGTGTAATAGGGGGTGAGGCACAATTCCAGACTCCCTGCTACCACTGAGAAGTTTTCTAAAAACCCAGTATTACTTTGACCGACCCGGTAATCGAGATTGAGCTTGAGATCCCTTGCCTGGCAGTCGCACTTACGACCACTCGGCCAACGAGGCAGACAATTCTTTATTTATACCTACGTAGAAATAATATTGTACTCACATTGGCTGCGACATAGAACTCTTTACACATTTTTCCAGGAATGTGCAGTACTCTTATTACTTCTTTACTTAGAACTTCTATATCTGTAACAGGTATTAGACAAAAGATTAAAAATATTTGAAAATGTTCTTAGAATGTATGTACAAAACACAATGGAATTGTGAAACATTTCCGATGACCCATCAATTACCTAGAAATACTTCAAGTTGAAAGTTCGTAAAATATTGTTACTTAGCTCTACTAGTTTCGAACCACAGAGGGTACTTCCTCATGAACAGAATGTCTCGGCGATGTCGCGCATACTCAAAAGCTCTACTAGTTTCGAACCAGCTAGCAGCAACCGCCTGCAGGCCTTAAGTAGGCTGCGCGATATCGCCGCCACCGCGCACGCTGCTCATGAGAAAGAACCCCTCTGTGGTTCGAAACTAGTAGAGCTTTTCTCAGTATATTCACGTGAGCAACCCGCGATGTTAGTTAATTGAGTATGTGTCACGATAGTTATTATAAAAATATTGCTACTTATTAAGTTGTTCAGTAACTTCGGGGATTATTAATGTCATCGCATAACCGAACAAGCACGGCTCCAACTCAGCAATTAACTTATCATTTAAATATGAACCGTACATCGTATGTCGTAAGACATATTTCATTATTTTTTATGACATAAGCCGGTAAACGAGCAGAGGGATCATCTGATGGTAAGCAATCGGCGTCGCCCATGGACACCTGGAACACCAGAGGCGTTACAAGTGCGTCACCGGCTTTTTGGGGATTAGGAGTTTGAGGATCGTTGGGGATTCAGGGATTGGGGAGATTGGAGAAGGGGAAGGTAATTGGGCCTCCGGTAACCTCACTCACACGACGAAACACAACGCAAGCGTTGCTTCACGTCGGTTTTCTGTGAGGCCGTGGTATCACTCCGGTCGAGCCGGCCCATTCGTGCCGAAGCATGGCTCTCCCACACTTAAAACGTCGATATAAAAAAGCTATAAGCGTGCCAGCGGCGCTTACTACCTTCTTGTATTTTTCTTCAAAACAAAAAACGCCGTTCCCTATCCTTGCCGGAGCCGTGTTTATTAGGCATGCGACGATCTTTATCATTAAAATACTTCAAGTACAAAAATAGATAATGAAAACACAACTTACCTTCTTTCATTTTAATGACATAAAAAGTTGGATTCCTCAACAAATTAGGAGGCGGGCACACTGGTCGGATGTTAACTGAAAACACAATAATTATGTAAGTCACACTACTTTATCCATGGTTCTACACCATTTAACCATAGATACTGTCAGAGGCAGATTTTTTTTCTGCAATTTTTTTTTAGGGGATTTTGACCAATAGGCTATGTCAACCGCATTGTATGAGGCAGATTAAACCTTGAGGGTGTGCCTTAGGCAAGCACCTCGTACGGCGCTCCTAATGTTTTTTGTCGTCGCCGTCACATTATAGGGAATTTGGACACGCGCGTCTCGCGATGCCCGTCTATAACCTTGCGCCTAGCACTTGTCTAGTTTGCCTAATACCTTGTTAACAAGTACTAGCGTAGTGTACGCTAGTAATTTGGTCGAGTAGCGAGTATTTTAGTTCTGTCCCGCATTGATTTTGAACCGACGCGAAAGAGACCTACTAAACACTCGCTACTCGACTACATAACTAGCGTAGTGCAAACAAGGCATTAGGGATAATACGGCGCTGGATACCTTCCTCTATACTAGTAACAAAAGGCTCAAGAGTTTGAAGTTTGAACACGTATTCTTTTTTTTTTCTTTTTAAAAACACGTTGCCCCACACTAGGATTTTCTCCTGTGCCGTGGGTGCGTTTACAAACATACAAGTTCACATACACATGATACCCAGACCCGGAACAACAATTTGTGGATCACACAAAGTGTTATTCCGTGCGGGAAACGAACCCGTGGCACGTTGCATGGCAGCCGGTTGCCCAGCCACCGCACCAACCGTGCAGTCGAATTCTATAAAATGTGGATAGTCCATTTGTCGAGGAATGCTGAGCTTATGCTGAACTGAGGCGCTTTTGGCACAATACTGTTTATTTATTTTTTTTATCTTTCTTTTTATAATTTATGTTCTCCTTTTTTTTGTTTTTTATGGCATAATCCGGAAACCCTTAAGTGCTCATAACTACCAATAAATGCATTTATCTTTATTCTTCTTTCTCTAGATTAAAATTATCGATTATATTACTCACTATTTCTCACAGGGGTGCTGAGCTGCACTAGCGCCACCGTATTGTAAGTCTCCTCGTACTCTGGATGAAGCACATAGTTGCGCACACGGCGACCTGGCCGGTCCCAACCCTCTCCCAGTAATACGCGCGAGTTTTTTCTGCAATCATCAATGTAGTTTTATTGTATAGATCGCAGACGAATCACGGAAACGTGAGCAATCGTCGTCAACCATGGACACCCGAAACACATCACAAGTATTGTTTTCAGCCAAGTTTCTGTAAGGTCGTGGTATTACTCCGACCGAACAGGTTCATTCGTATTCGCATGGCTCTCCCACACCTATTAGCATTTAACTTGCTGCCTTTACAGTACCCAATATATTTGCGAATTAAATGCTGAACCTAAAAGTTTCTACGTGCTTCTATCCAAAAGAGGTAGGTAAAAGTGGGTGCAGGTTTCACATTTACCAACCTTTTTTAAAGGGGGGGACCATCCAATTCCGTCCCTCGCATCCCCAATCTCTCCAACCCATGAATCTCCAACAATCCTTAAACTCCTAATCCCTAAAAGGCCGGTAAAGCACTTTAACGCCTCTTGCGTTCCAGGAGTCAATAGGCGGCGCCGATTGCTTACCATCAGGTGATGATCCTTCTGCTCGTTTACCGGGTTATCCCATAAAAAAATATTGTATCGGTAACCTCACCCACATGACGGAACACGCAAGTATTGCTTCACGTCAGTTTTCTGTGATTCCGTGGTATCACTCCGGTCTAGCCGGCCCATTCGTGCATAAACATGGCTCTCCCACAATTATTGGACTATTCAAATAAATTCTAACTTAACGCCAGACTACCAAGACTGCAAAATAAACGTTATTCATCTAGCAATAGAGACTATTATCATATTGCGTAACAATATATAGTTAGTTACCTAAAGTTGTGTTTTGGCATAGGACCTATATCGGCGGCCGCGGCGATCACAAACTCGCTCTGAATTAGGACGACTGTAGTCACTGATCGACTGTCACCCTCTTCACCAACTGCAAACAATCATGTTACAATACCTTTAATATGACGACGGCAGAGTGAAATACATTTCACACCACCCGACTAAAGGTCAGCGTACGTCTAATAAGCACGCATCTAACCCAGAAATTAAGTTGTCATTTAAATATGAACTTTACTCCGTATGTCGTATGATAATTATATTTCATAACGTCAAAAAGCCGACGGCGGGTGGTCAGCGCGCGGTCCACTCGAGGTGTAGTCGAGGCGCCCGCGTGCTAACGCCTCGCCGACCCCGCGTCGTCGGCGCGCGGTCGCGGGGGCGCACTGTCGGATCGCGGGCGGCGCGCTGTCGGTTCGCGGGCGGCGCGGTGTTGATGAGCCGACGGCGAGTTAACGCCGAGCCACCCACCAGGCAAAACAACGTCGCATCATAGGTAGGTATTGTTGACTATACTTCTGATGACAAGCGGTCGCGGTAGCGCGGTCCTTAACGTATTGCATTCCACTTAATACCACCGATCGAATAGCAGTATTCTCTGACAAACCTTAACTTGGACTTCGATCTCCAACTGGGTTGAAAAAGCCGTTCGTCATTGGTCGATATTATTCTCACAATCAATGACATGGCGGACGGCGATCCAGTGCAGTTCGATCTTTGGAATTGAAAGTTACAGAATATCGTAGGAGGATTGGACATATATTAGGCTGTGTAACTTGACCTTTAATTATTAAATATTCACTAATCTGATCCTTTTTTCCATAGTATTTTTGACGTAATATCAAAGCAATAAAGATGAAAATCCAATGAAAATAGGTAGATAGAACGACCTTATGGTATGGTATAAGACTCACAGTAGCTATAGAACAGTACTCCGACCCAAGGATAGTGCGACACATCCAAATCGCCTTCGACGACATCCAGCGCATGGTCTATCCCACAGTCTAACACGTCTAGCTTCACCGACTGGATTCTGTAAACTGAAACATATTACACAAAATTAATAAAACAGTCCAATTTAGAAACTTAAGATACAACTGTATGCAAGCTTTTTTTTAGGACGGAACATCTTCCAATGGCTTCTCCTGCCCCATTGAGGCGAGAGGGAGTGTCAGACTTACTGACTAAAAACCACCCCATTCCTATTCTTGCAGTTCCGAAGCCCCGGCAACCTATTAAGTCCTTCGCGGCTATTATAATGCAAACTGGAGGAGGAGAAAAAACAGATTCAGTACCTATAAATAGCTTAACTAGAAGACTCATAGATCCATCGTAGACCGCATCATCGCTTACAAGTTGTAAGTTACAACCAGGCGTGATAGTGGTCAAACGCCAGCCCATCAATTATGAAAAAGACTGACCTTTTAATATTTTATTATGTTCAAAAGTTCCTTCCTGGTCTTATTGAAATAAATGATTTTATCTTTGACTATAGGGCCTATGTATGTACCTATATAAAAACATTTTTTTATAATGTAGAAACGAAGATTGTCTGCCAAGCATGGGGATTGTGGCATTTGTAGCAAAGCTCCACCGCTTAAAAGGGAGACCTGCTATTGAGTAAAGGGCGTCTTCTAACAGACGAATGAATAGGTTGCTCATAGGTAGGCGTGGTCCATCGTCGATCGTGGCGAGATGATGGCCAAACTTCAAACTATATGAAGATTACAAAATTTCATTACAAAATTCCACCCTGTAAATGGTGATTGAATACTTACCTTATATTTTTTAAGCTAGCCATAAAACTAAATCTATAGACAAATAGATAGTTACTTACTTTGCCACAGAAGCACAACCACTAACAACATTTTGTCGAACATTTTTTTACGAAAAAATGTCTTTATTTTATTATGTCTAGTAACACCAGCCGGATAACCTCAATCATTTTAATAGATTCCGAACTTAATACAATCAAAGATAAAGCTGAAAATCAATCACACAAGGAGAAAGTTGATACGTATATACTAGTACTTATCACTACAACCGACTTTATTCAAATGAGATTTAGATCAGTTACGCAAACATCTGTAAACCTAGACAGTTGTGTATGAATGTGGATGTTTGTTTGTGTGTTTATTTTACGACCAAACGGACGTCGCTACTACTATGTCTAAAAATATTTGGTGAATTACGGTGTCAAAACAAAACATTACATTTTTAAGTAGAAAACAAACTTAATCGACGTAATGACACATTACCTACTGCTCGACAGTCGAGATTACCTACGCTAAAAAATATATAAAAATCTTTAAAATGTATCGATCGATAACGCACTGCGCACTTGTTGTTGGTCGTGTATAGCAATGAAAAAAAAAACAAAAAAAAATTACGTACAGAAAAAAGTTAGGCTGCAGCGGCTGCAACCGTCTCCCGACGAGTCACGCCTCAAGGAGCCTCCCGCTGTCGTTTCGACTGTCTTCGTTGTGTAAGGTAGGTACTGGGTTTCTCCTACGACCCTGGGTGAGGCCGAAGGAGTGTAAGACATTTTTTACTCACCAAATGGCTTAAATGTAGGAAGGGGTTTTTGTCCAATCACACACAGCAGCTATCATATATTGAACGTCCTCGTCCAATGGGGTGACACTAGTTAATTGCCTATTGGACGAAGAATACTAGCGCCATACTGAAGGCCCCGTTAACTATCAAAATAAAACTAACAAAAATATTATAAACTTACAATTTATTTAAACCTTAAAACTTAGACCATTTAACCTTAAGCAGATTGCTACGCAGTTCTCATTCCGGTAATCTTTCTGTACGCACTAAAATGTTCTAAGTACTGATATATGGTGTCTATGGGAGTGTAGATTTCGTTCATTCTGGTGACTAAATGCTGTGGTGCTTGTACCAACACAGAGGGGCCTAGGAACCCTTGCAGGAACTCACGCAACAAGCCCCAAACGGCGTTAGGTGTAACACATGGACGGTACTCCACCTATAAAATAAATAATTGTTTGCAATAAAAGACCAATCGATAATATTATTATATTATATTATCATCTTTAATATTTTTCACGAGGAGGATTATACATAATTTTAATTGTTTATTACTCTTTAATAGGGGCTAACGATTTTTTACTCACCAGATGGTGCAAATGTAGGAAGGGGTGTTTTGTCCAATGACAGCAGCTGTCAAATATTGAACGTTCAAAGTTGTGACGCTAGCTAAAGGGCATTGACTAAAATTGGTGCCTTTCTTTTTTCTGGCGGCAATCGATGATTTATGGAAAATAATATCTAGAATGACATTACAAACGAAATTGTGTATGGGCTCACATATGGAAATCTCAGTCTGGACTGAGTTATGAGCGTCGAAAAGAGCTGAAGTCAAACATTTTACTTTGTTTTTTTTTATTCAAATTATTCATACTTTTGTCACAATTCCTAACTTCAAATTGCGCGCCACTGTACGCCGGGCACAGGAACACCATATCACACCACAATATATCCATATTGCCAGGCACTAATTTTATTTGCTATTTTCTCTCAGTCGATAATTTGTGGGATGCTTCTAGGAGTTGTATCATGAAGCTCCATGAGCGTCAGCTGAGGTACCAGTGGTGGGTTGAGAAGTGGTAGCCGTCCAAAAATCTAAAATTTTTTTTTGCCTTTGACTCCTGGTGGTAGACTCATCTACTTTATAGTTAGCATAATATTTTCAAGAAAGGAAACCGGCGACTTTGTAAAGTGATGGACTATACGTCAGATGAGCGCATAATTTTTTCATATAATGTGATCAGTCGAAATATAATCCATCACTTGGTGACTGAATGACGATATCTTTGTACAGAATCTTATGCTAGATATAGATTAAAGTATTAATAAACTGTAGTTAGATTAGTTACTAATCGGAAGTAAGTCGGGAGAAGTAGACAGAAATATGATGTTTTCGTGTATCCGCTACCGACGCCTCAGTTGACGAACATAGCATTTTATAATAAGGCTCAGTAAAGTATTTTGCGGGTTTTCGACTGATAGGAAATTGATCATGAAAATCTGTCATAGGCCTTAAACCGTATACATATAAAGTGAATACGCTAGCCAATCAAGCGAAATGTTTTTTTTTTATTTCAGCAGTGGCCAGTTAATGGTTCACTTTGTTCTGATTCCTTGGCCTTATAACAAAAAAAAAAAATATCAAAAAAAAATAAGCCCACAACAAGCTTTACTATATTTCTTGAAATCGTTTATAAACATTCATTACAAAATATTTGTGACAAGTAAATGAAGAAATATGCGTTGTGTACGGTCACCATCAACAAAATAACAGGAATAATATACCACTATTTTCACATCTTTGAAGTGATTTAACTCGGTTCGGACTGTGTTTTTGATATAAGACCCCATATATTTTTTGTTTGTAATGTTATTCTGCATCAGTTTATCCACATTTGATCAACTGCCGCGAAAAAATTAAAAGGCACCACGCTCCATACAAATTTGGTCATTGTCATTTAAAGCTAAAGCTAAAAGATAGGATTTAGCTAGGAACTAGATTCGTCTAGTGAGTAAAAATACGATAGGCCCCATTTTTTAAAAACAGGCAGAATATAATTAGGTATACGTTCGATGTAACTCCACTTTTAGGAGTCATTTTGTTAAGGTGGATGCCTAGATAGACCTGGCAATACATTATTCAGGTGTGGAAATCTCCGTAAATAAACAGTTTCTGCAGAATAAAAGTAACTATAATGAGACTTTATAATGTATTATGTTCGCGTATGAATATTATATTATAATAAAAAATCTACAAAGCTTACCTCAACAAGTATTCCTTTAAAACTCTGATTCATAGTGACAGAACCGAGCTTTATGCAGAAGTCACCGAGTTCAAACCTCGGTCCTTTGCTCTCAATTTTAGTTTGTTTTTTAGATGTGTAGTGCTGAGAAAGCTTCATCATTAGTAGATCGAACAAGCCGTCCGCTATCACATGGATGTTTTTGGAACCGGTGTCCAGTATTGAGAATACGGATGCTGGTTGCTCTGAATTGTGAAATATATGTACTGTTTTCGTTGTGCCTGGAATTTATTAAACTTTTTACTTAGCTTGCACAGTTTATTTGTTTTGTCAAATACATTGTAGTAGTCATTAACATTAAAGTTTACAATAAAGGGAGGTTCTCAGATTTTTTTTTTTTTTTTTTAAAAACGTTGCCCCACACTAGGATTTTCTCCTGTGTCGTGGGTGCGTTTACAAACATACAAGTTCACATACACAATGACACCCAGACCCGAAACAACAATTTGTGGATCACACAAAGTGTTGTCCCGTGCGGGAATCGAACCCGCGACACGTTGCACGGCAGCCGGTTGCCCAGTCACCGCACCAACCGTGCAATCGGATTGACCTATATGTTCTTGCGATTGGCTGAACTGGTATGATGCGTTATTCAGATATGTGTTAATTACAGTTAAAAATTTGAGTATATTAATTGAGCGACTTCAAAAAAAAAGAGGGGGTTGAAGTTGTTTCTTTTAACATAATTTATAAATTAATTGTACCCTCTTCCTGGCGACCGATCGATCTGATATTTGATACACACTCTTAACTCGTCGAGTACCGGTTTTGTAGACACAATTATTAAACAATAGGTTGCGGTCACCGGTGACCGCTTGGTATTTGACAGTTTAATCTTAACTCGTTGAGTACCGTCATTATAGACACAATTAAAGAACAATAGGTTGCGGTCACCGGACTGTCAAACACCAAGTGTTAACACCACCGAGTTAATGACCATACATATATGTAATATATAATTTTTTTTTATACAGAACAATCTCCATTATGGATATCAGACAAACGGGCTTAATTAGTAGAATAGAGTGCATTAAAACCGTTTCTACTCCTGTACAGTTTTACCCGCTACTTGTTGTCCTATTCATCGAAGCGTGATATTTGATAGCCTTCCTCGATAAATAGATTGAATCCTCGACAAAAAGAATTGTTGAAACCGAACCAGTAGTTCTAGGAATTAGCCCGGTCGGAAGAACAAAAAATATAGAAATATCTTTTGTATAATTTTACAAACATAAATATCAACTTACCCATTTGTGGATGTGACAAATAGCTCTCGCAGTCAACAAGGAACTGGCCTTGTTGTGACGCTCCTAATGCCAGTATACGTTTAGTGAGCAGCTCTATTACGTATGTACCAGTCTTGTTCTCTGGAACCGGGTATTGTTGTAATCTGGAACATATATTACGTTTCGGTCTTCTAATACTATCTTTAATGGATGGTAAGAATTGTACACTATGCCTGGTCCAAACTCTATGTTTAAAGTTAATTTCGAACAATTAGGTACTGAAATAACGCATAGGCTACTTTTTTATCACATGAATGCCCAAGCTGCTGGCAGAAGCAAAGCAATCATAACATCATGTCAGTCAGTATGTGTCTTTAACCACATAAACTTGACCTATGAAGAGTTAAACAAGAATGGCCAGTGAGTATCCAAGGGAAAGAATAAAAACCTAATAATTGTAACAGAAATTATAATTATCATCTCATTGGACTGCCTTCTTTAAAACTTAATCATACAATGACATATTACTCATACACCTGTAATTAAAATGAAAAGAATGTTAGAAGAACCTGTTTATTCAAACTAACATCCACATATCCACACCTGGAACGACAAACACAGTGGATCATATAAAAATTTGTTGCAAACCATTGCACTAGCCGAGCAATCAACTCAGTTACAAATGTTAACAATCAGCAGAACTTTTGTTTCTGACAAAAGAACTCAATACTGATTTTATAAAAATAGTAATTATTACAAAGAGCTAGAAATTATTATTTATAACTGTACAGTCTTCAACGGTACATAGATATTTTGCTGACATTAACATCGGTAAGATTGCGCGATATTGCTTAGGTACATAATCACATGTCAAGTAATTATCGAGCCAAGTGTGTTTTTACTAACAACGAAGTAAACACCTAATGAGAAAGGAATTGCCAACTGTGCTACACTGTACTAAACTTGGGTGCAATAACTTTATAGTTACATTATCCGAGCTTTTCTCTACATACTCCAACATCAACTACAAGTGTACGAATTGTACAATAACATTACTTACACTGTCACACCCATGGTAACTGTTTTCTTAGACTTTGTTTGTAATCAAAACTTGCTTCTGAGGTTAGATAAGTTTCATTATGTTTACAATATACGTTAGGAAATTAAACTAAACACGGTATTTTTGTTGTTAAATCGTAACAAAACCGATTATTAGATAATGTAAAAACAAAATATAAGTTTTTATAGAAAACCAAAACAGAAATGCTGATTGCCGATCACCGATCAACAACTTTACGAAAGAAATGTCTATAGATGCTGAGCTGACACTGACAATCTGTGATACAGCGGCACTGAACTGACGTTTGACGGCTTACCGTTTCATACTACGCAGAGAATAGGACTGAATTGTTATGAGATTTTAATAATCGGTTTATATAGATGACTTATAACATATATCATCACATTTATCTCGGAAGGGGGAGGCAAAGGTGCACATTACGGCACTTAATACCACTGTAGGTACAATGTAACACTCACTTTCCACTATTTATGTTAAGAGACCCATGTAAAAGTGGGTAAACCACATGGGGGCAGTCCTCGACCAACGAGGCAGTCATTACTCATTATTGTATACACGGAATGATTGATGATAAACAGAAATGGCTAAAGTGGATGAAATGACGTTAAGAGTACGTTAAGGTGCGTTTCATTACAAAGAATTTGATAGGATTCTCTGAAGTGAAAGGTAGTGGCAGCATAGGTATAGCGTTAAATTACGTCTAACATTGTGTGTGTTTGATGTAATTGTAATGTAATAATATTAAATAAAAGATTTTTATTTTTTTATAACTACTTTAGATACTATTATACCGATATTAATAGGCAACTCTACCGATATCGCACTTTTTGTCGTTACCACCCCACTGTTTTGACGTCACAATCGAACGCTGGACCAATGGAGTAACGACAGATAATTTCATGGGCAAATTGACAAGTGCCGAGCCCCATTTATCAAAGTATTTATTTACATCAGAACAGTTTTATTTGGCCATTACGTATTCGAACGACAGACTTGATAAATAAGAGAACTTTTGTGGTTTTATTGCGTCAGCGTAAAATTCTAGTGTTTTTATCGTAGTATTGCTTTTGTAAAGCAATTAGCGAAGTGAATTGGTAGCGTTGTTAAAATCACGAGTTATAAGTGTTATCTAATAGCAGAGAGCAATTGGATGATTGAAGATGATACCGAATAACGTGACTTTGATTGTGAAGGCGCCGAATCAACAGATTGAGGACCAAAATATTGAATGCGAGTCGTCATGGACGGTGCGACAGTTGAAGGGGCATCTCTCCGAAGTTTACCCAAGTAAACCCGTGAGTATTATTCTATAATTCTATAAAAATATATCCTTAGTGAAATATTTGTGGAATATGTCGTTATCATGTGTGTTATAAACATTATCAGTGTGTTTATAATCAGGAAACCAAATCACTGTCAACATTGAATGTATGTACACTCAATTTAAAAGTACCTAATCAAGATTTCTATATAATAAAATTAAAACTTTGAAGGTGTAGCACACTGATATTAAACAGTTTACTATTAAACATGATAGATACACTACATTATTATACATAATAATATATTTCTTCACAAAATGTCTCTTTGAAAAATAAACATTTAAATATGTTTCTAAAAATAATAACACATGACATCATATCGAGGGGTAACGGACTATTTGGTTTAAGCGACATTTTGGGAGATTTTGAGTTATTATATATATTCGACGGAGAAAAAATCGCTGATTCCGAATATATATATAACTCAATATCGCCCAAAATGTCGCTTAAACCAAATAGTCCGTTACCCCTCGATATGTGATTTTCCTTTATGGGAAGGTGAGACTATTGCTACCAAACTAGTCCACACTACATGTTGTACAGAAATATGCGTACCAACACTATGCATGTCCACTGAGCATGCCTGTGTACAGCATACAGAAGATATTAGCAAGAAAGTAAAACTATCTATTTGCACCAATAACTACTTCCATGTGGTTTCACCCACTCTGCTCAGCTCCTTTTGGCTACCTTACAGAAAACCGACATGAAACAACACATGCCTAATTACCATCCTCCCTCTTCCCCAATCCCTGAATCTCTAACAATCTCAAATTCCTTATCCCTCCAAAAGGCCAGTAACGCACTTGTAACGCCTCTAGTGTTCCAGGTGTCTAAGGGCGACGCCGATTGCTTCGGCTCGTTTACTGACTTATAACTTAAAAATCCAATATGGTAACCAGTAAGGAGACCAGATTGATGGTAGCATAATAGTGTATGGTCATCGAGTTAACACATAATTGCCAAGTATTATGATGTATACTGTTCGGAACCCAAGAATATTTGACCTGAGTCCCTCCTGGAGCATGTGACATTTTGTCGACTTGCCACCCTGTAGTTACTTGTCTGATACAATAGTTAAAAATGTAGATTCTTAAATTTTATTACATGTATTGTTTAAGTTGACCTAAGATAATCGTGTTAAATATGCCAGTAGCATCCAGGTGCTGCTGTACCGTTTCCCGTATGACTGCACGGTGGGCGCAGTAGTTGGCCAACTTGTTCGATTCCCGGTCGCGGGTTTGATTCTCAGTGATGGGTTTGATTCTCAGCCACGGGTTTGATTCCCGGTCGCGGGTTCGGTTCCCGCACGGAACAATTATTTGTGTGATCCACAGATTGTTAGTCGAGTCAAGTAGACAATAATCCTAGGAGAAAATAATCCTAGCCTCTTGTCTCTTGAAAGTTGCGGGTATAATGTGTTTTATACCGGGAGCCGGTGTTTCAACAGATAAAAGGATAAAGTGGGACAAGGGTTTTTAAAAAAAAAAAAATCATTATCAATCACCTTTATCATCATATCGTTTCTCAATCTATCCATGCTTTCTTCGGCCCCAATCTCAATATTTTCATAACTCTCATACCAAACCATAACAATATATTCAACCTATGAATCTCATTGTTTTCAACCGCAATGAATACTTTGAAATACAAAGAGTATTCGTAAATAATTGACCATTGTTCTATACTGTTTATCAGATTAGACTCGCTTCGTTTAATGTATACTTTACTGATCTGTAACAGTCATAGGTAATGTGGTTCAGTTTGTTCTACTGTTACCGATAATAAAATATTTTTTTAACTACATATTAAAAATTTAGTTCAATTCCAAACAACAATTTGCGGATTACACAAAGACAATTCTTTGTGAACGGTCCAATCTCCGTGCGAGAATCGAACCCGCTACACGTTGCGTGCCCCAGGCGGGAGCAGTCATTCGATGATTTTCCCCCCTTAAAAAAAAAAAACACGTTGCGTGCGCACCACTGCACACTGCATCACTGAATTTGTTTTATTCCCTTACCTAGAAATTTAAACAATTTACCTACAAAATATTACGCAGTTAAAATACAATACCCACTTTATTTAAAACGAAATAAAGTTACTTTTTGTGTGGTACATTATAATTATTGTGTAATTTTGTGGTAAATACACAATTTTTTTACTTATCACCAAGCAATAATGTTGATGAGTTAATGGCTTGATAAGTTTTAAGTTGCCAGAATGTTCTGGCAACTGTTATTTCGTGGTAGCCTGGAGGTTTAAGATATTCGCTGCTCATGTACTAGGTTCGGCGATGACCAATGTGACTTTTTCCGAGTTATATATACTTTCTAAGAGTATTTAGACTACTGCTCACTGCTACATAAGGCTGTTTGACTTCGAAATTGGATACTTTTTTTTTACTTTGGCAACCGAGTCTCCAAAACGGTGTTGTCGACTATACTGCTTAGTGTCGAGTGGTGTCGCGGAGAACCTAACGGGTAACCGGGGCTCCCGCTCGACGTGCAGGAGAAGGAACGGGGTGGTTTTTAGTCAGTAAGAGTCTGACACGCTCCCGCCTCACCCAGGCGGGAGCAGTCATTCGATGATTTTCCCCCCTTAAAAAAAAAGACTACTGCTCAAACCTTCTACGTACGTGAAAAGGCCTTTAGTCAGCAGGCTTATAGGCTGATGATGATAATAATACTTTTGTAATTTCATTTTTGGCAATAACTAGTATTGTAATTAATAACATAATCTGAACCTCCGACTCTGGTGGCTTTGGTTACCTATCGATCTTTTCGAGGAGTAATGACATATTGCTACTCTCGCGCAATTGCACCCGCTGCCCGACTCCTATTGATCGCAGCGTGTTGTTTATAGCCTATAGCCTTTCTCGATAAATGAACTGTCCAACACGAAAAGTATTACTCAGTTCGAACCAGTAATTTCAGAGCTTAGCGCGTTCGAACAAACTCGAACTTTATAAATTAAAAATAGTAAAGAAAATCTTCGGCTATTACGCGGCCCTTTATTGATTTAAAAGCCTCCTTCTGCGAAGCTCTCATGCTAGCCAAGGAGGAGGCGGGTTGCGTGAAGGAACGAACCTCTTCACGCCCCAGCCGTCGCAGGAGACATTCCGGCACCGTACGCAAGTGCGGGTCTGCGGACGGCGAGCAAGGGTACGGGCGTACGGCGCGCCGCATTCTGCGCGCACCTTAAAGAGCCATTACACCCCACCACAGATGAAGCCCAGTAGGGCTGATGCCCGATACGGAGCCGCGGAAGGCCTAACGGGGTGCCGGGGCTCCGCCTCGAAGAGCAGGAGTAGGAACGGGGTGGTTTTTAGTCAGTAAGAGTCTGACACTCCCTCTCGCCTAGCCCAAGGCGAGAGAAGTCATTGGATGATTTTCCCACCTCAATAATAAAAAGCCCAGGTTGTTCATGTGTAGGCGTTCTCCATCGTCGGCCACATCATCGCTAACACCACGCGAGATGATGGCCAAACGGCAACCTATCAAGGATAAAAAAACTAATTTAACTATAAACATAACCGGGGTAAACATGATTAGTGTAAATACAATGCTACGTACATTAATGTTGTTAAAACTAAGCACTTAAAATACCACTTAATTAGGTTTTAGGTATCTACCGTCTTAATCCTAATCGAACGTAGTTAATCACAGCGTTACGTATTCCCCTATTATATTCTGCTTCAAACTACATCAATTTGTTTGAGCGATAGTATTAATTGCATTAGCAATCGGCACGTGTACTAAGTTATTAATTAATATCGAGTTTATAGCTGGAAATTTACATTTACGTAATATTGATAATCTCCGTAAATGGTAAAATATGGCTGAACCTGTATTTTTATGTCACCTGTAATTGTTACCCATATATGTAATCTTTACCATTTTTGCCAAAAAATGGCATATCAGTCTGTCGATCAGTCCTCTAATTAGCTATTTGCTCGTTCCAAAGTGTAGATTCCTATGGAGAAGAACGAGCAAGAAACTCCATAGGTTACTCTTTTTCAATCATGTTCACATTACAATTCTTGGTTACATTGTTGTTTCGTTGTTTCAATTATGTGAGAACAATGTAACACCAATATTGTTTCTTTCTTTCACTTCTAACTTCTCTGAGGGCCTAGTACGAGTTTGTTTTTTGTTTAACGAGATTCACACGTTACCGCATTCAGCCCCTAATTGGTTGGTTCATTGGAACAGGCCAATCACAGTTTCGAGTGTAATTTTACCCTTACCTGTAGCCCTTACACTTAACAGGTGGCTTGTGACTCAGGCATTACCGAGAATTACGAGAATGCTGCTGTTCATTACAAAAATCATCCAATGTCTATACGGCATTGGTGTTTTTTGTACACACGGCCACACATCAATCTATACAAAACCAGTTTATCCTGGTGTCGCGTCGCATCATCTTTCCGCACATTTAACGTTCAGTTTATACTGGTTATGTAAAGCTCGATGTGTAGCCGTGTGTACTAGGAGGCAAACGAGCAGACTAATCACATGATGGTTAGCGATCAGCGCTGCCCATAGACAATATCAGAGGAGACACAGGTGCGTTGCCTGCCTTTTAAAAAGGAATACGCTCTTTTCTTGAAGGTTTGAAGGTCGTATCGGTTCGGAAATACCGCCGACAACTGATTATTCCACAGTTTTGCTGTGCGAGGCAGAAAGCTACGTGAAAAGCGCACAGTTGTGGCCTGCCAACTATCTATATAATGGGGGATGCGTATGCTGTCGTGAGGGTCGATGGCAAAAAGGTGTGGCAGGTATCAGGTTAAACAATCCCTCAGAGCAAAGTGGTATAAGCGAGATGGAATGTCAGACGCTTACTAACTAAAAACCACCCCGTTGCTATTCCTGCTTCGAGCCGTAGCTCATCCCTTGATGGCTGGTCACAATTTTGAGCACACTCGGGTCAAAGAATATTATATCCAACTAGTGATCTGTTTGCGGACGGATGGAAGTAGATTTTATCAGAATGCTTGAAGTACTGCGAGAGAAAGTTATGAATGGTGTTAACTCTTGTTTTAAGTAAGTTTTAGTTTTCTTTTTCTTCGTTGTGTGTAATGTTTAGGTTTTGTATTAGTTACAATTTCATCGTTTATTGTTGTAAATATCGATGTCAGTGCTTCGGTCACATGACGTCATGTTCAAGAAGTAAAGAAACGCTTCCTAATTAAAAACAATTCAATACTCAATTACTTTAATTCGAATTTAACATACCAACACTAATTCTGTAATACGGCGAACCGAACTAGTTTGAAGTTTTCATAATAGATTCGTGACAGTGACGAAACCGGGTCGGTATTGTGGTCTCTATTTATTAGTTACTCCATGTCTCTAAGTGACACAATTACGGTTTTTTTTTTTCATTTCACAGGTCACTTTCTGCTGGAAAATACGGCCATATTATCCGCAAACCGTAACCGGCTACTGAGTAATATGTTGCGGGCTCGATCCCCGCACGGAACCGCAAATTGTTGTTCCGGGTCGGGGTGCTAATGTGGGGCAACGTTTAAAAAAAAAACAAATAAAAATTACACCTACGTTGAAGTTTACACATCAATTTCGACAGAAATGAGTCGCTAAGCCAGAAATTCGTATAAAAAAAATTTTCAACTTTATTATAAAACTGTAAGGTTAAAATTGAAAGTAGTACCTATATGAAAGAAATTCACGACTTCTCGACCAAATTAATTGTCGTCGTTATCAATATTGGGACTACCGTACAATCTGAGGATCTAGAATTAGTTTGTTTTTCGTTTAACGCAATCGAAACGTAGCCTTCTGATTGGTTGGTTAATTGGAGCAGCCAATCAGAGCGCCGGTCGTGGCCGAACATCTTAAACGTGGCAATCGCGTTTAACGTAAGAGAAAATCGTACTAGACCCTAAGTAATCACAGATAGGCCCCTACCTGACCTCCTAACACCGGTTAATCTTAATTGGTTATGTCAACCGTAGTGGTCTCATTTGCAGGTCGTTCTCAAAGAATTTTAGATATACTTTCTCTAAATGTTATTTTAATGCAAATCTGAAATGTTATTTTATTTAGGTACATTGTCCTAACAAGCTTTTTTACTGCTTTCGGCTCACGGTTACACGTTTAGGGTTTCATCCGAAACGGTTTCTACAAAGTACTCTATAGTATGGAAGTTACTAACATTCCCTGAAAAAATAAGTGGTGACATCATTTTTTAAAATCAGTTCTATAGTTTCGAAGTCAATTTAATGTAAACAAACAACCAAATCTTTAACAAATACGACATATATCTCATTGAAACAATTGGTATATAACTCATTTATTAAAAAAAAAATCTCTCAAAAGACTAAATGTGGGAGAGCCAAGCTTCAGCACGAATGGGCTGGCTCGACCGGAGGCCTCACAGAAGTCACAGAAAACCGAAATATAACAACTTTTACGTTGTGTTTCGTTGTGTAAAACTCCCAAAACTCTCCACCCTCAAATTCGTAATCCCCAAAAGGCCGATAAAGCACTTGTAACTCCTCTGGTGTTCCAGCTGTCCATGAGTGAAGCCGATTACTTACCATCAGGTGATCCGTCTGCTCACTTACCGGCTTATCCCATAAAAAGGACTTATTAAAATAATCATCATACCTAATTGAAATAACTAATATGTCATGATAAGTAAAACGAATTTCCCCAAAAGATGTCTTTACGTCTGTTCAGTGGGGACGTCATAATAGATAAGTAGTCAGATTAAACAATAACCTTGGCCACGGAATTAGGAAGCCTGCAAAAAATGAAACTGTCATTATGTATGTCGACCTTTGAACGGCAATTACGAACAAAATAGTAAAATAGAGTCTATCTAGGATTGTAATGGCCGACCGAGATTCGTTTTAGAGCGAATATTTGTCTATCAGTCCTTGTTTCATTTGTTGTCATAATGAGGCCCTTATCCTCTCGCAAAGGTATCTTCGATTACGTTTGTAATTAGAATGGATGAAAGTAGTATCACAAAGCGGATGCCTGCAGAGTTGTCATTGTGCGAATTTGTCGTTTTAAGAACTTGATATTGTCAGAAGTTGACGTTATGAGAGTTTGTGTTTTTGAGAAGTACCTAATTATTATGCGAAAAATTTAATTTGAATTTGAAGAAGTAGATGTTTTGCGATCGGTTTTGTGTGTCATTTGCGAATATGAGCTGATACGTGAAACATTCGCATTTATAATATTAAGTATCATAATTATTTATTCACTAGCTACTTCCACGCGGTTTCACCCGCTCTACTCGACGCCTATTGATCTTTGCGTGATGTTTTATAGCCTATAGCCTTCCTTGATACATGGACTATCTAACACAAAAAGAATTTTTCGAATCGGTCCAGTAGTTATTGAGATTTGCGCGTTCAAACAAACAAACGAATTCTTCAGCTTTTAACAGTGTAAGATTAGGCCTTAATTCTGTCGATTTGTTCTTGACAACTATGTTCGAAAATCGCTCAGTATATTAGTGGATAATTCTTCGGTGTCTTTTAAGTAAGTTTCCACTTACTAAAGTCTATAAAAAATGGTTGTTATTTAGAAATAAAAGACACACCGTCATGCAAATTCACTTTCGCTTCACAGTGTATAGAAAAATGTTATTTATTTATGTATCTATCTATACATAAAGTGAAGTATGTATGTATTGCACAGAATTTTTGTACGATAAGAATATAATATGTATAGAGATATCGTTATATTGAATGTAGGTAAATGTTATCAAGAGCACGTGTGCCCAAGACTTTGAATTATTGGCTTTACTGCGGCTCCGATAACTAATTGGACTGTGACGCTGTGATTGCGTTGTGTACATATACAATGTCAATTTATAAAAAGTAGCTGGTTGGCCTGGATGATGTCGCGGTGGCCGCGTGCAGGTTTAAGACCCCCGCTTCTCATGTATGAGTATGCGGGTACGAAACCTACCAACGGCAAGTACCAATGTGACTTTTTCATCAGACATCAGTGACAAACGGTGAAGGAAAATATTGTGAGGAAACCTGGGCTTATAATTTCTAATTATAAGTTTGAAATCGCCAATCCGCATTGGGCAAGCGTGGTGATTGATGCTCAAACCTTCTCCTTGTGAGAAGAGGCTTTGCTCAGCAGTGGGTATTTATAGGCTATCGATGATAATGATGATTACCTGGATGACCGAGCTTTGCTAGGGATTTTTTTAGAAAAAGATAAAGACGAAATGGAAACAAAAAATAAAGTAGAACAAAAATGGAAACTAAAAGAAATAATCGGACCGAGGATTGAATCCGAATGTCCCGCGTATTCCTTTTTAAAAGGCTGCCAATGCACCTGTAATTCCTCTGGTGTTCGATACGGAGCCGCGGAAGGCCTAACCGGTTGTCAGGGCTCCGGCTCAAGGAGCAGGAGTAGGAACAGGGTGGTATTTAGTCTTTAAGAGTCTGATACACCCTCTCGCCTAACCCAAGGCGGGAGAAGACATTAGATGATTTTCCCCCTTCAAAAAAAAATACCTCTAATGTTGCGGGTGTCCTATTCTATAAAAAAAGATTGAAGTGCACTATGTCTGACTTAGAACTAGAAAATTCAAATATAAACCAAATTAGGTGTTAAGCCATTGACTGAATATTTTGTTCTTTTACAGGGCACAGACGAACAGAAGATAATATACTCCGGTCAACTTTTAGACGACAACATAATCTTGAAGGACGTGCTCAGAACATATGAGAGTCAGATCGCGCACACCATGCATCTAGTCTGCACGCCTACCCGCAAGGTGGAGCCACAGTCACCGGTCATAGAGCCGAACACTGACGGACTTCGCCGAAGAGTTGTCGAAGCCACGAACCAAACTGAAAGGGTCACTGAACCCCCAAGACCGGAGACAAGGCAGAACGACCAGAACCATAATGTAGAGATGCAGAATTATTTAACGTCTTTCGTGAATAACTATGGAAGGGTCCCCCCTTACCCGAATTATAATTTCGGAGAGGGTTATTTGCCAGTGCCTAACGACCCGGCCCAGTTGGCCAATCACATGATGATGATGCAGCAGGCTTACCTCCAATATATGCAACAGTATGCTAACATGTAAGTAAATTGCAACCTTAATTTCTTCTGGAATAAGGTCCTATATTGTTCTTTTAGTTAATTGGTACTAGAATCGATCAAAATACAACCTAAAACGCTTTATTATTAAGTTCTGATTCGCTTGCCAGCTTCATTGCATGTGGTGTTTGCTTGAATGGGTGTAATTTGATGCTAGGTATAGGATACCAGTAGGTAGTAGTCATTTATGACATTATTTACTTTAGACTGCCTTGTTTATCAAATGATATCTAGTCGCAAATACAATATGAATGCAGAGTGTGGTGACGGTAGCTTATGCCTTGAAATAGTAGATAGTAAGACCAAATTGTCATCATATTCGCATTACATAACATAACATAACAAAACCAGCATATGTCGAATTGAGAACCTCCTCCTTTTGTTGAAGTCACATTACGCCACTTAATGCCACTATACAATGTAACACCCACTTTCCACTATTTATGTTATGAGTCCCATGTAATAGAAGGTGAGCCTTTTGCCATATACCGGACAAATTTCCAGGCTCTGTGCTACTACTGAGTTTTCTTAAAAAACCCAGTAATACTTTGTCCGACCTGGGAATCGGACCCGAGACTCCTTGCCCGGCAATCACACTGGTGACCACTCGGTCAATGACGCACGCAATATATATTCGGTGATATATAAATTTTTGTACATAACCACTGATTATTTCACAAGTAATACAGTTAGTTTACATTTCCATACAATTTCAATGTCAAAGCGTAAAATTCTTTGTTCCATTAAACATTTGTTCAAATAACACAAATTCATGGGTACAGTATTATTGGTAAATTTTTATTATTATTATACAATGATGTCACTCCGCAACTGGCTGACTTTGCCATCACCAAAAATTGTATTCAGATCAATAACAACTATCAGAAGTTTAGATTGGATCTATGATGCAAATATTATCATCGTAGCGTATTTTTTTTATTGTGAAATAAGTGAATTTATTTCTGCAAATGGGCAAGCAACAAGGCAGCACTTTTACACGTCAATTTTATCAAGCGAACGATGAGGTCGACATTTCCTAACTGACTACTCTGAGAAGAAATGCCGAAACAAACTCAGAGGTCTGTCTCTTTTAAAGTCCAGACAAATGTGTATAAAAGATTAAGTGTGAGAACCATGCAAGTTCTTTCTGTAGTGGCCTTTGAGGAAAGAACCACAACAGTTTGAGCGGACCCGCTCTGAAGGCAGTACGCATGTGTCGGTTTACAATCAGCTCAATTAACAGGTGAGGCTGACTGATTCGACGAACAACACCAACCTAAAGAACATTTGCGTGGGTCGCACAAATACTCAAACTGTCAGAATATGGGTAATTAGAAAAGAAATGGCGAGGCAAAATCTCGCACGGTATATAGTCTTTCTCAATAAATGCACTATCCAACGCGACCGTCCGGGTAGATGTGTTTTGAAGTGGAGACCGCGTATAGGCAAACGTAGTGTAGGATGCTTTCTAGCTAGATGGAGTGACGATATTCGCGAGGAGGTAGTAGTTGGATGCGTAAAGCTAAAAGAGCGGCCTGTGCTGAGCCGAATTAAACCTAGATAGCGCCCAAGGCAAGCATCTCACAGGCGCCCCTAAATTTATTGACGCGCCGTCATTCTAAGGTCATGCGCGTTTCGTAGCGTCACGGCGCCCTTTTCTACCATGGCGCCCTAGGCCATGTTTGCCTTAGGATAATACGGCTCTGGGTCTGTCTAGTGGGCGGAAACTAACTCGAATAATGATGAGTGGATATTCTGTGCTTGTACTTGTATTGTGACAACTTAACCTTGAATTTTGTTGCAAGTTCATAAATTCTTTAAGTTCCTGTTTATACAGTCGAACGTTTAGATATTAGACAACGTTGTCATTAAGTAAAAACGCGGGTTACTCACGTGAATATACTGAGAAAAGCTCTACTAGTTTCGAACCACAGAGGGGTTCTTCCTCATGAGCAGCGTGCGCGGTCGCGGCGACGTCGCGTATATTCACGTGAGTAACCCGCGTTTTTACTTAATTTAGTATGTCTCACGATAGTTATTATAAAAACGTTGTCATTATTGTAATGTTACCTATTTATTACAACGGATTTTTTGACATAGAATATTACATCGATAAGTCTAACTTTAAACCATCTTAACTGACGATCTCCGGCCACTGTAAGCGCGGGCCTGCGGACGGCGAGCATGGGTGGTTTGCCGCCCGACCAGAACCAGACCCAAACGTACAAAGAGCTATCAGACCACAACGAATGGAGCCCAATAGGGCTGATTCCGATACGGAGCCGCGGAGAACCTAACGGGTTACCGGGGCTCCGGCTCGAAGTGCAGGAGTAGGAAAGGAGTCATTCGATGATTTTCCCCTTAAAAAAGACCATCTTAACTATATGATACCTAATTTCTTATGTCGCTATATCAAAATTACATTGATTCTACATGTTACAAGAATACAAACGGTGAGTACTCCACACCACACCGCTTCCAAGATTTATGTACCGACGATAAATGAAATCTTTCATCTTCATTATTTTTAAATGTCTGCCACGAAACAATAGACCATCACAACGATTTATAAACTTAAACAAATGTTAATTATATTTGGCACGCTGCCTACTACGTATTTTAATAGTCTCAGGTAGTGAAAAAGTGTTTTGAGAAATTCGACCTTATTGCTTTGTGATAAGAACACTCGGCCGTGTTACTCATAGCTAAAATTAACAGCGTGGGTTGGTTATTAAGTAATTTTGAAACGATATTTTTACTATATTTTAATGTGGCTCCGTAGTTGGTCATTAGCGGTTCTTTTATGGGTTTTTTTTTTTATTTTTTTATTAAGGGGGGAAAATCATCGAATGACTGCTCCCGCCTGGGTGAGGCGGGAGGGAGTGTCAGACTCTTACTGACTAAAAACCACCCCGTTCCTTCTCCTGCACGTCGAGCCGGAGCCCCGGTTACCCGTTAGGTTCTCCGCGACTCTTTTATGGGATAAGTCGGTAAAAGAGCAGGCGGATCATCTGATGGCACCGCGCATAGTCACCCACTACACCAGATGCGTTACGAGTGCGTTACCGGTCTTTGGGGGTAAATAATTATTCAAATCGGTCTTAAGTAAAATATTTATTAAAAAGTAAGTGTCGCCAACACATGGTACATGTCAACGGATGACGTCACAAAAATCCTACATCGCACATGCAATGTTTACATGCAAATTAACACGGATAGAAAATCCAAACGAACAACTGTCGGGCAGAAAGCCCGCCAGGCACGATCACCTCGTCTCGTCGGAGGATCCTCCTTTTCCGATCTTAGGGAACTATACTCTCTGTTCCCTAAAAGTAGTTTCTGTCCGCGGCTTCACCCGCGTTCCAGTGCGATAAAAAGTAGCATAATGTGTTATCATAATCTACCCCTGTTCATTTGATGAGATTTAGTGACAAACATACACACAAACTCACAAAATATCAAATTATAATATTAGTAAGATTGATATTTATTTATTACACAAAATATCAAATTATAATATTAGTAAGATTGATATTTTGAATTGTTTCGGACTTTGAAAGACTTGTTATTTTTACAGGTGGCAAGCGGCAGGTGCTGCTCCGGCCGCGCCAGCCCCAGCCGAGACACCGGCCCCGGCTGCCGAAGCCCCGGCCGCCGTGGACGAGCAAGACGAAGCCATAGCCCCCCGTGATTGGCTCGACCATCTGTACGCAGCCTCCAGACTAGCGATATTGTTCTCTCTGGTCTACCTGTATGGAAGCCCTGCCAGACTGTTGTTGGTGCTCCTATTGGCTGCTGCTGGTTATCTGTGAGTATTCTTATCGATAATATTGTCTTTATATTCTTTTATATATTTGGTGGGCCGACGTTTGGCCACTATCTCGCCTGCGAAAAACGATGGAGCAAGTCGACCCATAAGCAACCTATTCACTCAAACAAGAGCAAGTGTGCTGACTGGTTATTAATTCTCAAATTTTCTCCGTATGAGAAGAGACCTTTGTTCAGTAGTGGACACTTATTGACTGTTCATGATGATGACACATTTTTACTACAAGAACAGCTCAGGCAAAACTTACTCAATAAAGTTAATCTTCACCTAACAAAAAGTTTTCAATTCCAGGCACCAGATCGGTTTCTTCCGCGATCTTCACGTCAACCCAGCAGACAACCAGCGTCGTGAAGCACCCAACCAGAATCAACCCAACCAGCCTAATCAGCCCAACCAACCGAATCAGCCCAATCAACCAAATCAACCTAACCAACCAGCTGAACAGTCACCTCAACCAACACAACCAACCTCCCAGTCCATTCTAGCAGTCACTTGGATGATATTCACATCATTCTTCGCTTCACTCATTCCGGACACAAACTAATATACAATTGTAGTTCTTGGAGGAGTTACTCAGTCGTCGCGACGTAAAAATATATTGTATAGGAATGCTGAAAGCAAAAAACGGTTTTATGGACCCTCGAGGAGTGTAACGGCTCCTATATAAGGTTTCCTGGTGAAGGTGACGTTAACGGGCCGGTCTTTTCGGCCCTGAACCGTTTTAGGGTCTTTAAAAACTCAAGAAATTTTCGTTTTTTTTTATATGGTGACTGTGTGGTAATGTCCGTTGCTGATTGGTTGGTTAGTCTAACTCAGTATCTTGTTAATGTCATTTTGACAGCTAGTATGGACTGTCAAGATTTAAAGCTTTGCTAACGCCATCTAGTGAGGAGAAATGACATCATGAATTTGTTTTAAATTTTTGTTGAGGTTTTGTGCATTGTCTACTAAATAATTTGAGTTTTTTCTTAGATAGTACCAGTAAAAACACTTCGGTATGAATAGGTGACTGATGATGAGGAATTGATCAGTCCATACATATTGGATGGGGCTTTCATTTAGATATATTGAGAGAAAAAAAATCCCAAAGAAATAAGCACATAAACGTATGGTCGTCTTGTTTTTCAAGGTCATATGATTTCTAACTTCATTATTATTTATTTTTTTCATTAAAAATTGTAACCGTTTACCATAATGTAATTCGATTACACCGTTTCTCTCTAAACATCGTCCACTCATACTAATAGAAAAAGAAAAGAGAGAAAAAACGAAGTGAAAAAGTTTTATGATTATTTATCTCTTTCTAATCCTTTTTATTAGAAAGAGAGGACAACGTTTATGAAAACTATGGTTCTTAAACTTACCAATGGTGGAGTTTAATACCATCTTAGTAAAGAACTGTTTGTAAGGAATTTGATCATAATCGCTCTTAGCGCCATCTGGTGAGAGAAAAAACGACAGTTTTCATTTAGCAGAGTCGGTTCAAAGTAAAAATGAATGAATGATGTCCTTTTAATTTATTTACTAAAGCTATACTTTGCTAGTGACGAAATTACTACCTTTTTTGAAGGGGTAATCAGCAAGGCGGGAGGGAGTGTCAGACTCTTACTGGCTTAAAACCACCCCGTTCCTTGTTTTATGGAATAGGAGGCAAACGAGCAGACGGATCACCTGATGGTAAGCGATCAGCGCCGCCCATGGACACCTGCAACACCAGAGGGTCACAGATGCGTTGCCGGCCTTTTTAAAAGGAATGCGCTCTTGTAACCGGTGCCCCTAACCCGCTAGGTCTGCATCAGTTTCGGACTACCTAAGACCTAAGGTCTAAGACCTAAGGTCTTAGGTAGACCATGTGAGAGAGCCATGCTTCGGCACGAATGGGCCGGCTCGACCGGAGTGATACCACGGCCGAGCAGAAAGCCGACGTGAAGCAACGCTTGCGTTGTGTTTCGTCGTGTGAGTGAGGTTACCGGAGGCCCAATTACCTTCCCCTTCTCCAATCTCCCCAATCCCTGAATCCCCAACGATCCTCAAACTCCTAGTCCCCAAAAAGCCGGTAACGCACTTGTAACGCCTCTGGTGTTCCAGGTGTCCATGGACAACACCGATTGCTTACCATCAGGTGATCCGTCTGCTCGTTTACCGGCTTATGCCATAAAAAAAAGACCGCATACAAATGCTTAGACGTGCACCAACCATTAAGTCAGTCCAATTGGATACTTTTATCGATATTTTATTGTATGAGATCATAAGCTCTAAAATGCTTTGTTTAGAGTATATAATTGTACAGTCTTCGTACATATTTATTAGAGGAGGGTGGGAGGGCAACCCATCGAAATGACACAGTCAATATCTTTAATAGATTTTGAATTAAACTTTAATGTTTTTGTAATAAAGTTGAAAATCTATTGAAGATATTTGATCAATTTTTGTGTCTCACGTAACTCCAGTGATGCGATATTTAATTGACAGTGATTTTGAACTTTATGCCTTTACCATACGTCCTAATTTAACCGCAGATATACCCGAGCAATTCGTGGAAGCTATATGTCATTTATTTTAAAAGGAATAGAGATGAATTTCGCTTGGCAGTAATTTCTTTACTAGCAAAGTTTGTCGATGTCAGTGAATGATCGTTTGTATATAGTAATGGAATGTTTAACTGTAGTTTACTTGTAACCCTATTTATAATAATACACTACTACTAGTGAGATATTTAAATTTATAGTTTTTAGTATATTTTTTCCTTACTGTACATATTTTAATGTAAAAAAGAAACAAAATATCTTTTTATAATAACTATCGTGAGACATACTAAATTAACTAAAAATCGTGGGTTACTCACGTGAATATATTGAGAAAAGCTCTACTTGTTTCGAACCACAGAGGGTTGCTTCTACTCGCAGTAGGCTGCTCGACATCGTCGCGCACGCTGCTCATGAGGAAGTACCTCTGCTGTAGTTCGAAACTAGTAGAGCTTTTCGCAGTATATTCACGTGAGTAACCCGCGATTTTTAGTTAAACAAAATATCGATATTTTTGGGTCATGTCGCGACTCCATTTTACTAGGGATGGGCAATATTTTTATCGATATGTGCTCATCTGAGATTGGTAATTATGATGGCCAATCACATTTCCTAGCTGTAATACAAGAGAAGATTTTGACAGTTTTTTTTACAGTAAAATATGTGAATAATGTAATGGAAACAATGCATAGTTTTTAATTTAAAATTCGGTGTACTGAAGTGAAACCAAATATTATTTTGTAAATACTTACTCTTGATAATTTTAGTGTTATGCCACATAGATATAAAGTTCATTATTGAATAGCAGAAATGTTAACGCTTTTTGGCGAAGACCAGTTAATGAAATGCACTGATTGCAGTTCCAGTTACGGTGCCTGGCGTTAAATATAGCATATCGACTTATGGAACGAGATAATTATGTGTGATATTACAATCATTTATTTGTATAAACTTTCATTTTCAATCTTATTATGATTTGAGGAGAGTGATCGACTAGTTTCAGCGACATACGCGGTAACTTAACCGATTGTCTCTGCCGAAAGGTCGATGTGGCATATTTATTGCTGTGCACTGTACAAACCCTTCTACTAATGTACGGTGAAATCAGGATAATAGACACGTAACATATGAAATAAGTATGAATTGTATTAGAAATGGTACAAAATCATTATTATTATTATGACAAAGTCGTAATATTTTTGACAGGCCACTGCTTCTTGTGACTAAGACCCTCGAGCCTTAAATGAACCTATTGTTTTACTGCCAATATTAATAATGTATCTCGGATCCTAAATATTTAATATTAAGATCGATTTTTGCATGAAACTCCATACAAATTACGTCAAAAGTCGCACGAAGCGCTTTCGCATCAAACTTCCTTGTGCGTACTACTGAGGAATGGAATTCTTTGCCAGAGTCTGTATTTTCTGAAGGGTATAACCTGGGCGTCTTCAAGGCCTGAGTGAATAGGTTGCTTGATCTTATCGTAGACCGAATCATCGCTTACCACCAGGCGAGATAGTGGTCAAACGTATTTTGTTGGATAGTCCACTTATTGAATTCTATAAGCTATAAAACACCACTCTATGATTAGAGCTAGGAAAGGAGAACTTATGTTTGCAATGGATATTCAAATTACTACGGAACCGATTACTAACGGGAGATGCGCTAGGAAAGTCTTCGAGAGCATCGGATTGGAAAACGTAGCGTGGGGAGGTCTCAGGCTAGGTGGACCGATAACACCTTCAGAGTCGCGGGGAGCCAGTAGATGTAGGTGGCCAGCTTGTCGTTCGATGTGGAGTAAGGTCCTTTGTCCAGCAATGGACGTCTTGAGGCTGTTGATGATGATGGAATCGATTCTAAAAATACTTTCCTTAGTTAAAAGTTGCATTTTCTATCCTATTTGAAAAAATGTATAACATGGCGATACTTGATTTCTATTGGTACTTCGTTATAGAGATGTGGTCTGTCAGAAATATCGATATCGATACTGTAGTATATAATGTTTTCTCTAATTTACAAATTCTATGTTCGTTTACTTTTTATTAAATCTGTAGATAATATTCTTTAGAATTATGTTACATGAATCATAGTACCTATACACAAGCGTCACGGGAATTCAGAAGATAAAAATAACCGGTCTCAATTCATAATCTTTAGTTTTAATTAATTTTTTACCTTAGATCAATGGGTTAAGGTCGGTTATTAAATAGTCTTAAGTTGGTCATACAAAGTGATTTACCTGCATTTCATTCTAACTTAGTTTTCGATTCACACTAGGACTTTCTCGTGCGTTTACAAATATACAATTTTGTTTGTATCATACTCAGACCCGGAACAACAATTTGTGGGTGACACAGAGTCATATTATCCGTAAGGCAAGATGACACAGAGTCATAGTATCAAAACGCTCGTGCCTATGAGGTCGGCTTAAACATACCCTGAAATCTATTTCTATTTCGTCCCGCGGCAAAACAACTTGTCATAAGGAGTACTTTCTATGTATAAAGTAAAAACAAAAAATAAAGATTACAGTTTATTTTTGGTTTAAAAATGTTTCATGAAATCAGACACATGAAACACTAGATATAATTTGTAGGCACTATTCGCATCGCACGCGTCACCTGACGAGAAATACCTTTTCGAGAATTACATGGCGTGATGCATAGATAATGTACTATGAGTTCGTATGCTCTTTCGATACTACTTTTTGCAATGGTTCACCTGTTATTTTTGTTTTAAACATTTTGTTTCTTTGTTAAACTATTGTGTTCCCAAGGCAGATCCATTTTACTCCGGGACGGAAACGAAATGGGTTTCACGGTGTATATTATACAATTTAAGGGCGCCGCCGAAGAGGTACTTTCCTAAGGCGCATTGTAGGTTTGATCTGGCACTGGAATCCCTCAAAGAGTTGCTCCGTACAATGCGTTGCCTAAAACGCGAGAGAACGAAGATGTGTGTGCATTACCTTTATCATACTAAGTACATTTTAGTAAGACTTCTTCAAATTTTGAATCGTTTCTTTATTATTTCATAATTATGGATATTATATTGTTTGAGTTCTTCGAAAAATATTATAGAACAGTTAAGTTAGAAGTACCTATCTATATTTTGGAGTGTTAAAATTTATGTATTAAACTAGTTTGTATATCGTCTATGTTCGCGACTTTTTTTGTATAATAACTATCGTGATAAAATGAAAAAACGGCTTGCGTAACTGATTTGATTATGGTCGACTAGTTTCAAGGGACGATAGGAGCTTATAATCACATAATTATGAATGTATGTAGTCGACCAGTCTCGAATCAGCAACTGTAGCCAAATGTCATTTAGCGCTTGTCTACTTGTAGAATAGAAAACCAAATATATGTAACTGACGTAAATTTTGACACTTGTCAGTGTCATCCCCATACATTTAGTTTTCTACTCTCTCTGTAGACAAGCGCTAAAGTGCCGTTTGGCTAAAGGCACAGGTACGAGAGTAAACGCAGAACTCGGAGTCATTAAATTGTTCCTTAGCAATTGTTTCCGAAACAAAGTCGTCACTAGGGAATGGTTTGAGTAATCATAAAATGTCTATGATTATCCTAATAGAGGCTTATTTACGTATTTTACTCACTAGATGGGGCAAATGTAGGTCGAGGCTTTTTGTCCAATGACAGTAGCTGTCAAATATTGAACGTCCAATGGTTTGACGCTAGCTAATTCCCTATTGGTTGAAGAACTAGAGGTCCACACTAGCGACATCTGGTGGGTAAAAATACAGTAGGGCCCCATTAGGTTCTCTACTTTATTGTGTAATTAAAACAATGTTCATATATTGTCAGATGAGTCTAAGATGAAAGGAATTTGAAGTGAAAGATGTTTTTGTTTTGTACCAAGATGATTTCATAAGGGTTATAGTAAAACAATTTTAGTTGTCATTTCTCATAAACGCGTGAACTTCAAATAATGTAGACAGTTAATTTTTGAAGCTTATATCTGTGATTTTAAAATATATAATTGTACTAAACTTTTTGGCTTTTTATTGTATCAGTGTCCTTGTAACCTATACCTGATCAAGTGATTAATGGTAATACTTACGTTAATTTTTACGCATGCAGATGGCCATAAAATGAGTTTTGTTAA